CTCTCTCTATTTTATTCAATTTTTAATAAAATAACACATTGTAAATTATATTTGAATAAAACGGTCATGATAATTGCATGCAACAGTGGTCTTGTTAGTCAGGATCATTCCAAATAAAAATTCACTTAATTATTTTAATTAAATATCATTTTTAGTGTCTAAAATTTAGACTTTAATTATTATTATTAAAGTTATAAATTCCGTAAAAGTTTATTAATTTGTTATTTAAACTATAATTATGTGATTCTTAGACAACGATTGCAATAAAATTACGACAAGTGTTAGAATATCTCAAAAATTTCATTTAAAGTTTTGCTGCATATTTCAAAATATTGTAAATATATACTCAATTTGTTATTCATTTTATTTGTTTGCATTATTTTGTTGGGAATATTCATACCGGTAAAATCTATCGCCTGTAATAAGTGCCCATATGATACAAAATATAAAGTTTAGTTAAAAATAACTATAAGTATAACAAATGTTAATAATCTTATGCAACATTTATTTTTCATTTCATAATCTACGTTAAAATCACATTAAAACCACAGAATTGCAGCGGAATTGCAATTAACATGTTTTGCTATACCCATGTGTAGTTCAACAAACATTAGCAGTTAGATGTTATGTTGCATGTAATGCTTGCATAAGTTTGCACCAAACCGACCTCAGTTCACTCTTGCGCTCTTGTAAAACATTATTACACAGTTTACTGTATGTCTACCCTTACAGTACATTACACTGCTATTTATCTGATGTCTAAACCGTATATAAAGAGATCTTCAAAAAAATTTATCATTCAATAGAAAACTGATAATCAGATTCTGAATATATTTTAAATATTACCTATTATTTAGTGATTTGATATTCATCGAGAAAAGTAAGTATAAAATGAAACATTTTTAAAATACTAGTAATTTATTATTAAGGAATGCTTTATGAATTTAACTTAAATTAAAATTAATTAATTCAATTTGTGTTTAAAGGCAATAATGTGTAGCCGACACCGACACAGTCACTGTAATTGTAGTGAATGCCAACCGCGACCCATCATAATCTACGGTTGTCCGACCCCTGAAGACAGCCAACTATGGGGTCACATACCGTTCCCACCGCAACAGTTCGACCAGAAACTGGCCACAGAGTCGGGCGAACCCGTGAAACGAGGCTGGTTTTCAAATTGGGGCTGGGGTTGTAAGCGCCAACATCACCATGGTTGTCGTTGCGCTTATTGCGATTACCGTTATAACCGCCATCACCACAATGATGGCGGTAAACACTGTTGGCAACGATACTGGGCTGAGAAGGGCTCGTCGCCCACCCCGTCGGCCGACAACCCGACCAAGATTGACACCAATACTGCAGATGCGCCTAAATCTTAGATTATTATATTCATCGATTTAATGGTGATATAAAAATATATTTTACTATGGTTAAATTGTTGGCAAACTTTCTGTAATACACCAAACTATATTTAATTAGTAATTTTACATTTATTAATTGTATTTGTTGTGTGTTGTATCTTAAAAACTATTATGCTAAAACTGATGATTAATATATTAACAACTATTTATTTGTTAAATTATATAATAATTTTTAACTAATTATTTGTCAACTAATTATTTGTTAATTTATTTTATTTAAGGATATAATTTTCATTAATATTATATAAGCTTTGTAAAATTATTTTTAAAAATTAAAAGTTACATTTTTCTGTGAATATTATTGTAAACATTTATTAATTAACAGTTGTTGATAAATTGATATATCAATTGTAATTTTTATTTATGATAAATAAAGACATTAATTGTACAAATAAATAGCACAGCAATGTGTTATACATAAGAGCGCAAGAGTGAACTGAGGTCGGTTTGGTGCAAACTTATGCAAGCATAACATGTAACTTTAACTGTTCATGTTTGTTGAACAACACACATGGGTAAAGCAAAACATTTTAATTGCAATTCGGCTGCAATTCTGTGATTTTAATGTTTATTTGTATGAAATATCAATTAAATTAATTAATTATGAATTTTAGTTACATGTACATGAATGGCAAGGTAGTTTCTAATAGTTAACAAATAATATATTGTAACTAAGATATTCAGCTTGTCTAAAGTTCACCATGATAATTAGTGTGATTTGCATAAACATTGTACTTTAAAGCTCATTTAACAATTAAATTAATTAATTAAATTATTTAACAATTTAATGATAGCTCTGTATTAAATTATTTAAAAAATTGATAGCTTACTTGCTATTGCAAGATAACAAACAAGGTTAGTGCAAACTAGTACAGGTCTCAATAATTGTAATGATTTAAGTGTTTACGTGTGTAATTTATCAAGAAACTATTTAAAAATATATTATCAAAATTTGTATATTTTTAAAATTTAACAAATGTTATAGTTATTTGTTTAATTTTTATTAAACTTGATTTCCGAAGCCAACAAATATTAACTTAATTTATGAGACTAATTCATAATTTGACGTACACGGCAAGACACCCAATTTTGCACTTTATCAATTAACTTAAAATATTAATAGCTTAAAAATAATCATAACTTATTTGTGATAAAAAGAAACGTCATAAAGACATCTTATCTGAAGGATAGATACAAGTGTTTAAACTATTTTATTTTATTTTTATTATAAATATCACTGTATTTCTCACATACAGTAATTATTTTACAATTGAGTGTTTTATAGTTTTAATGTTACATTTCTTTGAATTATCTGTAAATTATTGATATAATGGGACTCTTAGTCTCTATTCCTGTGATTGCAATATATGTTAACAAATTATTGTCACTAAACCGTGAGATCAATGGCCAGTGGTTTACATATTTGACTCAATTCTGGAAATTATGGTCAAAAAGAAGACAACAGAAGACAAACCGAGTGTTAACTCATGACGTCTGGAAAAATAGTGGATCAGACGCAGGGATTGTCCCCTTTCCTCACGAATGGAAATATGAATTACCACAACAGGTATGTATTGAGTGATATGTGATGTTAATTAATAAAATAAATTTTTAATCTAGACTAAAAATGAAGATATTTTAATATATGGCGTGAATTCATCGAAACAAAGCATTTATATTGCAATCAAATGGAGACCAAAAGGAGTGAACGATAAGATCAATGCAACCATTAGTTTGAGATTTGATGACAACAACAGTAATAGCTATACATTAGAGGAGGACTCGGAG